TTTGATGTAATTGGCCCCGGATAAGGAAAGTTGAGGCAAGAAGAGATCCGCTTGATCCCCTACTCGTTGGTTAATTGGTAGTCACTCCTTGGAGCCTCTAGATGATAGGGAAAAACTCCTAGATACCAAAGATAAGTCTGCAATTATCCAAGTAAGAAAATGTCTGAAATTGAACAATTTTGGATCACCCAGTTTATGATCTCGTTTCTGGTCAGGTCTGAACCGTTATCGGTTAAGTCTTGGTTCACGGTGGGTCCTTGATGGGTCAAGAATATGGACCAAGTCGGATTTTGGCTTAGTTCTTTGTGGTTGGGCCTCAATGCCCATATGTTCTCATCGGCCCATTTGAATAATTGTAAGTTTGGAGCTTGATTGGACTGATACTTTTGGAGTGTTCACGATTCTAGGCTGTTGAGAGACTCTTCAAAATGGTCCATAGGGGCTTGGGGTTTGGCTGCATCATCTATGGCTTGTAGTCTTCCTCTTTTGGATCGATGACTGCATCATTAATCCATAGTGTATTTGTGGAAAACTCATCTTGATCCGCCCTATGTTAAGGCCGAGAAAGCATTAGCTTTAAGCCTCACAATATTAACCAAATATTAAATGCCACACAATTAAATTTAACACTATAAAAAAACATCTCATTTCCATCAAAAATTTATGTCGAATTGAAATCGACGTAAATTTACGTCTGATTTATGTTGAATTTACGGCGTCCTAAAAAATCGACATAAATTCAACGTAAAATTTAGTCGTTGTATAGTTGATGTAAATATATGTCGAAATTACAGAGATTTGACGACCAAAAAGTTTTCGTCGTAATATCGACGTAAAATTTACATCGATTTTACGATGAATCAAATTTTCATCATGATTCGATTTAATATTGATGTAAATTTTATCTTGATGCAAATTTGATGGAAAATTTCAATGCAAAATTTGTTGCTACACATACCAAATTTCTATAAATACCTCCTCACTTCCATGATAACCTACCAAAAACAAAAACTTACAAAGACACAATTGTGTTGAGTCTTTGAGTTTTTGAGTATAATTTTTTAAACTTTATCATAATAAAATAAAAAAGTTTAAAATAAAATAAAATTTCTAGAAATATCTATATACGATCTACAAAAGTGGATGTATATGCATGAAAATTTTGAAGGGGGTTTGACGGAAGAATACAAGAACGGGCTAGAAATGTTTATGAATCAGGCCGACAATATGCAAACAACCATAGAAAGTGGAAAGATGTTTTGTCCTTGTCTGAAATGCAAAAATAGGAAACATATCTTAATCGAAACAGTGTGGAAGCATTTACTAAATAAAGGATTTATGCTGCAATACTTTATTTGGTATCAATATGGAGAGGGTTATGGTGATAGTATTTGGCGGCCAGCTAGCATGCATACGAGTGGTAGTAATATTCAGGATCATGAAGGTGTTGGGGATAATGATTTTATTGCATCAAATTATTATCAAAGTAGTCATGATCAAGAAGGTCAAGATCATGATATGATGCATGACATAGTTAAAGATGCATTTCAGGACGAGACGCATGATGATATAGTTGAGAAACCGCATGCTGATGTCAAACTCTTTTATGATATGTTAAATTCTGAAAAACAGCCACTATACGATGGATGTAGAGAAGGACTGACTAAATTGTCATTAACAGCTAGGATGATGACCATTAAGACTGATCATAATCTAGCTGAAGTTTGCATGAACGATTGGGCTGATCTTATCAAAGAGTATTTGCCAGAAGATAATCTGGCTGCCGAATCATACTACGAGATACAGAAGTTGGTTTATAGTCTTAGGTTGCCTTCAAAGATGATAGATGTATGTGTTGACAATTGTATGCTCTTCTGGAGAGATGATGATAAGCCATAAACTTCTGGGCGGAATAAGATACCATACCAACGGATGTTGTATCTTGCTATAAATGATAGATTAAAAAGATTTTATCAATCTGATAAGACAGCTGCATTGATGAGATGGCAATCAGAGCATTTACAAACAGATGAAAAATGACTCACCCGTCCTATGGGAAATCGTGGAAACACTTTAATGCCATACATCCACACTTTGCTAACTCTACGCGGAATGTATATTTGGGTCTTTGCACTGACGGGTTTAGTCCATTCGGTATGTGTAGTAGACAATATTTTTATGGCCAGTAATCCTTACACCTTATAACCTTCCCCCAGATATGTGCATGCAAAGGAAATTTTTGTTTCTCAGTATCTTAGACCCTGGTCCAAATCACCAGAAGCGGGCTCTTGATGTGTTTTTGCAGCCACTCATACATGAGTTGAACCAATTGTGACTTAATGGAGTTTGAACATAGGATAGTTCGAGAGGTAAAAATTTTACGATTCGAGCTGTGCTTATGTGGAGGATAAGCGACTTCCCTACTTATGGAATGTTCTCTGGTTGAACTACCCATGGGAGGTTATCATGTCCTTATTGTCTTGATAGGCCTGATGCATTTCAACTTAAACATGGTCGACAATCTTGTTGGTTTGACTGTCATCGCCAATTTCTACCACCCAACCATCAATATCGAAGAAACAAACATCTGTTTAAGAAAAACAAAGCTGTTCGTCTTCCTCTACCAGTGTATCTAACATGAGAAGAACTTGAGGTGCAAATAGATCATTGGGAAAGTTTAGAAACGTTTCATGAAACATCTGAAGGGAAAATCCAAAAACCTAGCTAAGGTTAAAGGTTCTATTGCTGCAGGAAGTTTGACGGAAGAAACATCCCATTTCACATCATACTACTTTGCTCTAAAAGTTCGTACATGCAAACGAGCTTCACGGCGTTATGATGATGGGCGTGTAGGACATATTTATGCAGTAGAAGATGTACTAGAAATTTTCTCACCAGTTGGACGTCTTAGTGGAAAACTGAAGGAAACTTGTTGGTCTATGGAGAAAGATATTCACAGCGCACATATATATATCCTCCTAAACTGTATGAATTAGCTCCGTACGAGAGGTATATATAGAATAACTATTTAGGTTTATATTTTTAACTCCTTATGTATTTCCATTCACATATTGATTATTTATGTTGTATCATGCAGCATTTTCGTAAGTCAAGTTCGAGAATGCATTGCAGACGTATCAGAAAATGAAATAAATGATCAGAAAGATCAATATTTTGCTCGGTGGTTAAAGGGTCAAATAGTAGATCATGATGACCCTGACTATCCAATATGGTTTCATGAGTTAATTCAAGGCCCCATCACTAGAAGTTACGTTTTTCACACATACAAATACGGTATTCAATGCGCAACTACAAACTATGGCACCTGTGTACGAGGTGAAGTAGATTTCTATGGGATATTGCAAGAAATTATTGAAGTGGAATATCCCGGTTTGGTGTGGACTGAAAACAGTTCTCTTTAGATGTGATTGGTCTGATCCAACAGTAGGCCGTGGAGTACTAACAAATATGGGGTGGTTGACGTTAACCAATCTCGACGGTACAACAAATTTGAACATTTCATCCTAGCCTCGCAAGCAGAGTAAGTCACATTTGTTCCATATCCACGAGTTCAAAACACGTGGATAACATGGTTAGCGGTTATTAAAATGGCTCCACGGGGGATAATTGATGGTGTAGATCTACCACCTATGCAACAAGATACATGTCCTGACATCACTGAACCAGAGGTTGATGAAAATATTATTTTAATTGATCCACGCAGTAGACAAGTTGAAGATCTTCCCAACGATGACACTGAAGATGATCTTTTAGATAAATTTGCTGAAACTGATGATGATGATCTTGAGTTAGAGAGTGATGATGAAAACGCATCAGATGAGTCTGAATGATGATAGTAAGATGTATGTTTGATTCTGTTTTTTTAAGATTAAAAAGTTTAGTATATGTTTTAAATAAAACCTATGTAGATGTCGCATCTTCCAACATTAAAAAGTTGATTTTAAACCCAATTGTTTGATTATTACGTCGATTTTACGTCGAATATGACAAAAGCCAATTAAAATCAACATACGTCGATTATTAACTGCATAGAATCCTAAAATTTTACCTTGGTTTTCTGTTACTTTCAACTTAACTGACCATTGTCTAACTATTGGGTTGCCCCAAATGTAGTTTTAAGGACAGATAAAGCAAATTCTATGTTATATTTAACTATTGCATCAATATTACGTTAATTTTGACATATTCAACGTAAATTCGATGCAATAGCTAAACCCTAACATAGGGTATGCTTTATCTGTGGTTTAAACATTTTTTTCTGGATTGAAGTATGGCATTAGTATAAGGAAGCTGCAATGAATTAAAATAATTGAAAAACTATTTAAGTATAGAGTCAAATTTACATTGATTTTTTATGAATCATCGTAAATTCGACCAAAAATTACATTGAATTTACATCAACTTATTTGATATCGACGTAAATTCGACGTAAAAATCAACCCTTAAACTTTGAAATAATCATTTACAATGGTTTTAGAATGTTTCCATCCTTCAAACTAATACTATTACACTTCATACAATGTATACAATAGTTTCTGGTAAAAACAAAAATTTCAAAAAAAATATAGAGAATACAGGTAATCAAGTTCTTATAAGTACATATGTACATTGGTGAAAGATGTTATCTTAGAACCTAATTACATATAATAGTTTTAATCCTTACCTTTATATGCAATCTACTAGTACACACATTCATTTATAGCATATGGAAGCTTTCTACATCTTTAAAATTAAAAATATAATTTTTTTCAGAAACTTACCATCGATATTACGTCGAAAACAACATAAAATCAATATAAGTTTCCATCATATTTACGTCGATAGCTAATAATTAAATATAAATAAATAATTAAAAATTGGATGCAAAATCGACGTAAAGTAGGCCTCACGTTGCGTCGATTTTACGCCGCCCCTAAAAATCTATATATAGGGACGCTGCCATCCAACACCCGACGCTCACTCCTTCCTTTTTCCAGCGAAGAAGCTCTCTTTTCCAAGTAAGTTTTTTTTTCTTTTTTTTTTTTTGAATTTGTTAGTATGTAGAATAGAAATGGAATTAGATATAGGAATGAAATTAGATATAGGATCGGAATTAAACATAGGAACGAATTATAGATTTTCAGATATGACCCCTGATGATTGCACTACATGCAGTTTTTGAGCGAGGGTACTAGTACTAGTGTCTCGACTAGTAACACCAACGCTCAGGAGATGCTGAGTTCTAATTCAACCGGCACCCGACATGTTCCCGGAACTTCAGGAACTGCACCTCCGCCGCCACTTCCACCACCTGCGGCAGCCGAGGAACTGGGCCCACATCCGTAGCCCAATATACGATAGAAGATCTCCTCGTCCAATCGGGTCGGGGAAATTTGTCAAAGTTGGTCCTCCTACGACCACAACCCGACATTTTTTATTCTTATTTTCATTATAAAAAATATTTTCTTTTTTTATTTTCATTATAAATTTTTTTAATTTATTAAATATTAATTTTTAACTTAACATTCTTTTGTGGGTTCGGCATCGATACATGCATTTCACGGAGCATCACTGATATTATCAGGAGCTACTTCGTTGAACCGCACTATAAACGGAGCAAGGTCACGTCAGATCTTCGAGACCTGGTTTAAGTGCTTTGCGGTAATTTTTTTTTTTCATTTAATTTTTGATAAAATTTGAAATATAAAATACATAGCTAATGTTTTTTATATGCTTTTGTTTTTTCAGCAAAAGTAAAACTGAGACGTTGAGATAACCGAGATGGTGAAGACGGCCTTTAGGAAAAAGGCGACAAAGCGTCTATGCAACAACGTCTCCGATATGAAGCACAAGTGGGAGGTCAACGGCAATGACGCGAAGCCCAGTGCCATGTCTACGACATGTTGGAACGAGCTAGAGGCGTACTAGATCGAGTCTCACGCACAGGACACGGTCGCCAAATGTGCGGCGGTTCGGAATGGAGTTGGTCCATATGGTAGGAAGAGAGTTATACTGCATACATCCGGCCAGACTTCTTTTGCCCGTAGATGCCTGGACATGATAAGTCAATCAAATTTTCTATTTTAATTATTAATTACTTTTACATAATAATATATTTGATTTTGATTTTATTTTTTTCAGGCTGCTGAAAACGGAAGAGAACTTCCTCCTATGACCAGAGTCTTCCAGGAGACTCACCAAAAGAAAGACGGTTCCTTCATGGATGAACAATCGGAGCAGGTCTACAATGAGGCAATGGCGCGGATCGCGGAATGTCAAGCTCAAGTCTCACCAGACGTGCCTTTGACCATCGTCGAGCAAGATTTCGAACAGGTAACTTTTTTAGTTTGCAAATTTTAATTCTAAATTTTAATTAATTTTTTTTAATTCTATATATGCTATTAATAATAATTTTTTATAGGTTGCTCCGAAGAAGCGGAACCGCATTTTAGGGATGGGATCTATAGCTGATTGTCTCATCGCTATGTCTAGCCGGATTCATGAGGATCCGGTGGTCTTGCGGCAGCAGCTCAAAGAATCCCACACTGAGATCTCCAACTTGCGGACGGAGCAAGTTGTGCAGCGAGAGGAGATCCAGACTGCTCGACAGAAGATCCACGAGATGTCCAATTTATTCGACATCATCGCCGCCAGCATGCCAAGCTTAGATGCTGCACTGAAGAAGAAGCAGATGCTTAGGCGGCGGCAGCAGGAAGAGCAGCAGCATCAGGAGGAGGTCGGTGCGTCTAGATCGAGGCCACAGGGAGTTGCTAGCGAGGACGGAAACCCATCAGCTACTGTTAACACTAACAGTGATCTTAGTATAGACGATTTTGTAATTAGTTCAGGAAACTAGTTTCTGATTTTGTATTTTTGTAATATTTTAGAATTTTTAATGATTTTATAAATTTAATTTTCAAACTATTAATTTTAATTTTCTAATTTTGTTTATTTTAATAATTTTCAAATCGACGTAAATACATCGTAATATACAGAAAATTTTACATAGACTTATTTACATAGACTTATTTACGTCGATTTTACATCGATACACTTTCGTCGATCCTACGTCGATATATTACAACGATATTACATTGATTTACAAAATATATAACTATATTTTTGGGATTTTAATTTATCGTAATAACGATGTAAACTCGGCGTAAAGTGAGATGTAAAATCAATGTAAATATACATCGAACAAGTGGTCATAAATTCGACGTACTATTTACATCTAATTTACGACGATTATATACCGTTTAAATTATGTCGATTTTGAATCAACGTAAATCATACGTCGAATTTACATGATTTGGTGTTTACGACGATCGATTTACGTCGAAACCGGATATCGAGGAAAATTCGACGAAAACCTTAGATTACGTCGAATTTATATCGATTCCTACCGATGTAAATGACCTGTTTTCTTGTAGTGTAAACATTAGGTATGTTAACCAAAGACAATGGTTTTAATGATATTTACCCTGTTCAAAAAATCTTTTACCTATACAGTGTGGAGATGCCTTGAATTATGAGTAATTAGATCAATAAATCGGATATCCATTTAATTTTTTCGTAGACCAATTATCTACGATTAATTTCTGCCAACATAGCTGTCTAGCCTAGTATTTCTTTTTCTAAAAATGATTTTTTAAAAAAATTAGCTGTCTAATATTTGATTACAATATAACTTAATTATGTTCATAATTTCTTGGATCCAATATTTGTGTCCATATGTTTTATGCAATCTTGAATATAATATTATTTCAAATTAATAATTTATAATGAATCAACTTATTTAAAAGACATAAAAAGCTCACAAATTAATTCCTGATTAATCCTCGTTTTTCATTAGGTGATAAGCTTATTTGAACCACCCGATTAGTGTCTAATGATTTTTTGAACACTAATTTTTACTAAATATCATCTGCAAAGCGTTTAGGTATAGAAAGTCGGGTCTGAACTATGGTCCTAACAAACTCACCTGCCAACAAGCCCATGATGGGGTGGGCTAAATGGGTGCAGGCAAACCTGTTTGATACCATTAACCATTTCTCATATATGTTTTTTTATCCGTTTAAATAAAATAAACAGTCTTGAATATATAATTATTTGAATAATAATGGAAATGAGACGGAGAATTCGGAACAAGCACGAGTCAAGATCAAATATTTGTCTCGAAATAGACATGTCTATCATCAAGATCGGCTCTATCTCTAAAAGTATAGTTGGTGCTAGTTTATGTAAGATTCAACAGCTCACCATGGCAATGTGTGTGACACATAGAAGCGCGGAAAAACATAGAGTTTGCTGGTAACACGTAGGATTCGGAGAAGAAGCTGATGTGGCACTACAGAAGCAGTGCAAGTGAGGAAATCTTCCGTATCAAGAAAAGAGGATCGGAATCACAACAAGAAAAGGAAGGGAAATATATACATGCTCGTGTAGAGATGTGATATATATTCTCGAGTACGAAGGCTTAGAAGGGTTGCCCGTTCTGAGCAAAAAGTGAGATGTCGTCACAAGAAACTGAGTGAAAACATTAGGGTTCTTGGTGAGTGATTGTATCTTAGTTGCACAACTGTCGTTGTGTTAGGTTGAGTAGATTAGGGGTTGGTCAGTGAAGAGTTGCGTAGCAAGATCGTGTAAATCTGATTAGACAGATCATTGTGATTGTCTAAGTAATTCTTAATCGTTAAACAATAAGAAGTATTTGCATTTCTGGAAATTATTTTATTGGTCTCCGTATTCAACACTTACATTTGGTATCAGAGCAGGTCACCTAACGAGAAGATCATCTTCTACATCAGGTTGAGATCCTGTGGTGAACAGGGTTTGAAGTCTGTTCTACATCAGGTCACCTAACGAGAAGATCATCTTCTACATCAGGTTGAGATCATCTTCTACATCAGGTTCCATGGATACTGGTAATCAGGGTTTTGACAAGCTGGTCGGGCTCCTGAAAGCTGAGGAAATGGAAGCTACTGATGATCAAAAGACTACTCAGAAGGGGATTGCTTTTGCTGCCACCGGTGAAGTTGACCGAATGAATCAAGTTGAAGAAAATCTAAGCTTGCTGGCCAAGAACTTCAATAAGATGTTGAAGAGAGTTGAGAAGGGTCCAAACAGAATCACCAAGGTTCAGAGGTCAGATGGTGACAGAGAAAGCTATCGCAACACTCGCTCTGAGGGTGAACACTCAGGAAATTACAGGAAAAAGGACCTCCAGTGTCATGAATGTGACGGTTTCAGACATTTCAGGAGTGACTGTCCTCTGACTAAGAGGAAAGAGCTGAAGTGTCGAGTGAAAAGGATTTGGACATATCAGAAATAAATGCCCAAACAACATGAAGTCCAATGATAAATCAATGATTGTCTTTGATGTTCAGACTCAGATAAAGAAGAGGAAGGAAATAAAAATCTCATGCTGAATTTTGTAGCTTTTTCTGCTGGCGATGAAGAGAAAATTGTAGTCAAAACTGGTGATTCAGACTCAGAATCAGATAAGGAGGACATTGATCCAAAGACCGAATAAGAAAGCTCTATGACAGCTGGGTGAAACTGAGTTCTGAAAATCTTCAACTGATCAAAGACAAGGTTCATCTCAATATTCTGGAGATGGAAAAACCATCATCAAAGAATCATGATTCAGTGAGTGATCAGGACTCAACAAAACACTCGAGCTCCGAGTCAACAGATTTTCAGAGAGAACTGGCCCTCGAACAGGAGAAGAGGAAGATTCTTGAGAATAAACTAGATAATCTGTGGGAAGTGTATAATATTGAGAAAGAAAAGGCTAAAGATCTGCAGAGTCAACTCATTGAAAATCACAAGAAGATTCGGATGTTAAAACCTTTTGAGTGATTAGTCTGCTAGTTTCTTTGATCTGGTGCTGAAAACCTTGACCAAATTTTTTCTTCAGGTCAACAACCCAAGAAGAATTGGGGACTGAGGTACACCGGGGGGGTTCCAAGTTGAGAAGCTCACACCTCAATTTGAAAACTTGTATGGATTCGTTTTTGAAGGAACCTCTGTCAATGAGCTTTCCACCGACTTGTTGGAAACAGGGTCTATAAGGAGGAGGTCAAGGAGA